GGTGTCTCTCTTCCCTTCAGGACCACCACTCCTCCTCTGCATGGCCATCTTCCTCCAAGGGCGTGTTCTCCAAGGACTTAGACAGTTGGTGGACTGTTTCCTACTTAGGCTGTCTTTACAGTATGAAAGAGTTGCCAAGACTCTTCACCACCTCCATGCAGGGTCTGCGCCCAGGACTGACAGGAAGTACATTTGCTGCTGGGAAGGAGGGTGGGCCTTGTCAGTCGCTCCCTCACCAATGCTACTGGGCGACAGAGTGGGAACCGTGCTGCTGGGGTCTGAGACCAGTCTCTGTGCTGTGGCCTTGGGGAATACCTCTGTGACCTTGGGGAGTGACTTCTGACCTTGGGGAGTGCTTCTGTGACCTTTGCTCCCTGTGACTCCTATATGCTATGGGGAAGGTTGATGTGAGTTAACATACGTAACTCAAATTTCATAGTAAAGCGATATCTCTTTCCATTTCTTATGATTATATGACCTGTTTGGGGTGCACCCAGGTCCACCCTGTAAAAGTGGGATAGGTAATGCTGCTGGAGACCTCTGAGGGCTTTGCCTGTTACCCCAAGGACATTAGGCAGTGAGTGCCGTGATCAGATTGGGAGGCACCCCCAACCGCAGTGTGACGATGGCGTGAGAGGGCACAAGACTGGCATAAGGGAAGCCTCCCGGGTCTCAGTAACTGGAGTGTCAATAACTGGGGTGAAGCTGACGAGGCCAAAATCTGGATGGAACAGGAAGGACCGTTCCCGGGGGGCTGAGAAGGCAGAGTTGACCTGATGAGGGCAGAGAAGGCGATGAAGATGATAGGATTTCTGGGCTGGATAAGAGAGTGGGTGTTGGAATCATTACCACAGGAGGAGAAAAACACAGAGTGGGGCTGACGAGCAGGACCGAGGCATGGGGAGGTGATGGGTTCGTTTTGCGATGTGCAGGGCTGGTAAAACCTTGAAATGTTGCCATTTACAAATGACACTGTTTTCCGCATCAGGTCTCCTGTGGAAATGGAGGCTCAGTGGCCAGTCAGGCACGCACACTGCCTGTTGCCTGGTGCCACTGGGCTAATGACCTTACTGAAGAGTCACAGGGCCAGAGGGCAGAGGGCAGGAAACTAGGTGCCCTGGGGCAAGGCTGGGGCGGGGCAGAGGAAGCAGGAATCAGGCAGACGTCGGGGAGATTTGGGGATCAATTGCAATGGCTTGGGCTCCTATACCCCTTACAGAACTCCCTCCGATACTTCAGCCAGGCTCAGACTTCCCACAGTTTTGAAAAGACAGTGACTAAAACGTCACAAAACCCCAGCAGCTTGGCCCAGAGATAATGAGAGTGTCTGTATTCTCTGAGTCCTCCTGCCCCATGCCCGCTCTGTGCTAAGCTGTTCACCTACAGTACCTCCTCATTCATTCCTGATTACCGCCCTAGGAGAGAGCATCTTGTAACGTCTGCATTTTACAGATGAGGAAATGGAGGCTCAGAGACGGGGAGTGGGTGGCCCAAAGTCACAGAGCTGTTCAGTGGAGGAGCTGGTAGCGAAACTCAAGCATGTCTCATTTATGACATATGCTCAGAGCTACTCATTAGTTCCAGTTGCTGGAGGCCATCGCTAAATCTGGAATCTGGTTTGAGCCTGTTTTCAAGGCAGCCCCAGAGAGAAGAGCCCGAAGTGTTTCCAGTATTCTGTGAGTTTCACCGAGAGCAAGTTCGGTGTCCTGTTAGAAAAGAAATACATGCACATCAATAGCTTTCCTTTAGGTCAATGATAACCATTTTCAAAATATAATGAAAAAAAATCCCATTCCATTCTTAATAACATCAAAATTAAATATCATAAAATTAAATTTTTTTCTCAAAATAATTTTTCCAATTAATACCCCAAAGGAGCCTACTTGAACTTGACAAAATGGTTTTACATTTTATCTGATAAGCAAATAACCAAAAATAACCATGAAATATAAATATTTCTAAATATATACATGTATATAATATATATATATATATACTATATATATAGTATATATATATATTATATATATATGAAGACTTTTACCATTAGATGATAAACTATATTGTAAAATGACTGCAGTTGAAGCAGTGTGGGGGTAGAGCCAGAAATAACAAAACGAATGAAAAAGAATACATACTCACCAAACAAAAGTCATTTACACGTACGCACTTAATATATGATAAACACGGCATTTCCAATTCAAGAGGAGATGATGCTTTTTTAAATAAATGATGCTGGCATTGCCACCCATAAAATATATTTTAAACAAAAGAAAAAAAATTAAAGCTAATTAGCACATCACAGATGCTGCTCCTGGGTTGGGGGTCCTGAAAGCTGTCTCCACGGCCTCGCTCATTGGGGCGGAGGTCTGGCATCAGAGTAAACCTGGTGTATTCACCCGCAGGGCTGGGCTCAAGCCCTGACATCGCCTCTTATCAGCTAAGCCCTTTGGGAGTGCTGCCGGGTCTACTTTCTGGATTGGAAGCTGTGCACAGGAACGGCGCCTGCAGCATGGGCTATAGTGACTATAAATGCAATGGTGTTGCCAGGTTCTTGGCAAATAGCAAACTTGCACGAAACGCTACCTCAATGCCCAGCTTTCACACTTCACGATGCTTTTGCGTTCACAAAGAACTCGTTCTCAGACTTTTCATGAGAGACCCTAGATGTTGGATCCTGCCCCACAACAATCACTCATCCCCAGGGTTCCTGCCAGCGGAAGGATGGCGATGGTGTGTGTGTGTGTGTGTGTGTGTGTGTGGTGTGTGTGTGTGTGTGTGTGTGTGTGTGTGTGTGTGGCAGAGACTTGGCTCCAGGCCCTGGGATGGCGACAGATGAGCTGGCTCTCACCTTAGAGATGAAATTCACCCTTCAATTAGAGCACTTTCCCCCAGACATCAATCTAAATGCAGAGTGTGGCCAGGGCTTCCATTTTAAGGCCATAATTGGCCAGTTTGGTCCTGAAACCCTATCATAACTCTTCTGTGAAATTGCAGTGGATTCATCACCTAAAAATATGCAGCTCAGCTTGGTCATGTTGCAAAAATGCCACTTGGACTGACCATGAAAATAGCAATGTGCCCTGTATGCTCAAGAAAATGAAAGCCCCAGTGTCTCTTGTGAGGAAGCCAGGTCCCAAGTTCAGAAAGACGCGTCTCCTGCTTCTGAGAATGGCCCCAGAGCTTCAGGACGAGTCTGGGGTCTTCCTTCCTCCTGCTGAGTCCATGAGAAATCTGGTTGTGTCATGTGGTGGCCTCTCTGGATAAATGTTTTCCTCTCTTTTGCTGTTTTTATTTAAGAAACAAACAAAAAAGGTTGTGGTGCTAGGTTGTTTGGGTACTTTACTTACCATTCTAATTTTAGCGCCCCCCCCCCACCTTCCTGCAATGCTCTACGTGTCAAAGACAGGTTTGAGATAAAAATGACACGGCTAAAAGCATGGTTCTGTTAAAGACAATAGCCTTTTCATACCTGGGGACAATTTTGAGGAAAGGATGCTCAGCTAAGTAGGAAGCTCAGAGGGGACAGAAAAAGCCCTGGCTCAGAGCCAAGAGTCTTGGTTTATCTCTGGCTCGGTCACTGTCCATCTCTGTGTTCTTGGAAAGCCATGTAACTTCTCCCAGCTTCTGACTCCTCGCTGGTGAAGGAGGCGCCCCACCTGGGATGCTGCGTGGATCACCAGTGAGAACGTTTCACAGACGAGGAAATTGAGGCAAATGGGTGTGTTAGCTCATAAGAGTGCCACAGTGTTCTGCTAGCACGAGGTGAATGCTCACAAATATTTATTGTAAGGGTAAACTACTGTGGTATTCTGAAAAAAAGTGAAAGACAAAAAAATAAATAAGTACATAGATGTTGCCATTAACTACCAATGATGCCCCCACTCAACAGCTCCCTAGGGCGTTCTAGAATCAGCACTTGCAAAGGACCATGGATGCCTATGATGGGAGGCATCATGCTGTCATTTTTAATGCTCCCTGTGGATAGAATTATAATGCATCCATTGAGCAAGCCCAGCAGTCTGTGGAACCTTAAGCCCCCTACTCAGGGCCACCTCTGTCCCCACAGGGACACTGACAGGCCTCTTCATCTCTGCCAAGCAGCCCCTCTCTCTGGCTGTGACAGCATGTCCTGTCTTAGCTGGGGTTTTCCAGGAAATAGGCTCTGCCATGGAGATGTGCATGCAGGGAGTTCAGGGTGCAGTGCTCTTGGGAGCTAAGATAGCGAGGGGGCAGGCCTGGGCAGCGGGAGAGGCGAACTGCTGTGAAAACCGGACAATGTGGCCCCATTGATGCCTCAGTGAGCTTGGAAGCTGGCTGGCCCTTCTGAGACGCCCCGCCTTGAGGCAAGGGCTGGGCCGTTGTGTACCCACATGGACTAGTTTTTGGATGTAGGCTCACCCTGGGGAGGGGAGGCAGCTCACCTGGATCAAAGGCCATTTCTGGACAGGGACTCAGCTGGAGCCCCCAGCCAACAACTTCCCAAGAGTTGGAGAAATGAGAGGTGGCCTGGGCAGCACACCACAGCATCCACTGTGGAGGGCATTGGTCCTTTCTCCCTCCACGGGCTGGGGGAGGATTAAATGATAGCCTGTCTGCGCGAATCAAAACACAGTATCCCATAGCAACACTGATATGCCTGTGTATCATTGCACCCTAGCATTATTCTACTCACTGCATTGTAACAACTGCATTGTGATGTTTGTCTAAACTTCTCTCCCATTCCACAGTGAGCTGCTTCAAAGAAACAACCATGCTTTTGTTTGTTTTGTTTTTTTTACCCTTGCATTCCTAGGCTTGAGCACAGAACTTGGCTCTAAAAAAAACAAACAAAAAAACACTCTTAATAAATTGTTGTAGAGTGCGGGATGGGTGAAGGAATGGAGACCAGGAGAAGGTGGCCTGGGGCTGCCCTTTGGGATTACTCGGTGGCACTCTGCTGGCTTCGTGCACCAGGTGAAAGCTGTGTGTGGGTGACCGTTCCCTGCTTTCTCTCCTAGTCACTCTGGACTCGTGGCAGTCCCTGGCCCTCTCTTCCGTAATTGTTGACCCGTCCATCAGGAATTTCGATGTGGCCCATGTCAGCACTGCTGCCACCCGTGACTTCTCAGCTGCCCGAGACCTCTGTCTGTTGGGTAAGGGCAATTTCCACCCACTCCCCACCCCTGCCCCAGATAGTGGGGTTGCTTGGGATGGAGTCACTCTCACATAAGTGCTGTTCAAGACTCTGACCTCAGAGACACATAGGAGACCCCAAGATAACCTGGGGTGCCTGGCAGGAAGGAAGTGACCTGGGGAGAGGACGCTGGGTGTGCCCTCCTCTGCAGCCTTCTCAGCCCATAGTCAAGGTCTCCATGGGGACATGCCACTCAGAAAATGAGCGACTTCGAACCAGGTCGGAGGAGGATCAGAGGAGGGATCTAGGCAGCTAGTCTGACACAGAAGAGAGAGTGGAAGCTGTGATGGCTTCCCCGACATTACAGGGGCTATCACGGTGAGGAAGAAATACACTTCTTTGGCCAGGCACATGGGGCAAAGCTAAGACCTATGCCTAAAACTCAAATTTCAAGAGACATCTTTCAGTGCAATATAAAAAACTTTCTAATAGGCAAAGCTGTCCACAAATGCATACTTCCTTTAGAGGGTTTCTGGTCACTGAGATTTAAACAAAAACTGGGTGGCCACTTCATAGGAATAGGCTACAAAGATGTTAGTGTCTGCAAGAGCCTTAGGTTAGATAACATTCACACTCCTCCAATTCTGAAACTCTATGAATCTTCTCCGCCCTAAGGTTGGATAACAATATGTCTATCTTACCAACAGGGCTGCTGTGTGCAGATGTACAGGTTGTGTACTGCACCACTCTAGGTGGTGCCATAACACAGAGACTGAGCCATAAATAAGGACGTTAGGAAGTGCACAGCTTGCCCAAGTGAATGAGGTAGCTCTGTTTCCAAGGCTGTTTCCAGGAGTAAAAACCATGAATGCCATGGATAATTTAAATTGTCTGGTGCAGGACCTGGCACATGGGATATGACATAACTCCTGGTGGAACATGGTAGGTATGATGATGGTGGCAGCGGGTACATGAGGCTGACGAGGAAGGCAAGGGCTGGAGCATGGAAAGCCTTGACAAGAGTACATTTGCGAATTAAATAAGCAGCCAAACACTTTATCGTTGTATGGAAAATAGATTGGTGGGAGAGTTGGTCCCTCATGAGCACCATTTTATTCCCAGTCCCTAAAACAGTGCCTGAGATATATAGTAGGTGCTCAAATGAATAAATAAGTAATTGTATAGATGGATAGATGCATGGATGCGTGAATGCATAATTAGATGGATACATGGATTGACGGATGCATGATTGGATGGATACATGACAGGTCGCATCTCTGAGGCCCAGCCCTCACTCTGTCCCTCTGCTCTGCAGAATGTTCCCGACACCAGGCCTGCCTTGTCACTGCTCTGCAGACCCAACCTGGCGCTGTGAGGTGTGTGTTCTATCCTGACACCCAGATCTGCACTCATAGCCTGCAGGCCCAGAACTGCCAACTTCTGCTCCGTGAAGAAGCCACCTATATCTATCGGAAGCTGAGTAAGTCCACTCCTGGGCCTTGGGGCCATTCCTGGGAGCCTGGGTATGGCTGAGAGAGACTGTCTGAGCATGTGGTGGCTTTTGAGGTTCTTAAGGGAAAGTTGGCCAAAGTTATCCTGGGCTGGGTAGCACTCACCTGGGATGGACTGAAGGAAGGTGCAAAACCCTACTTCTAACGTAGACATTTCCTGTGCCACCTTTATTCATTTATTCCTTTGAGTTACAGAAGCCATTTTGGCCTTTGGCATTGTTAGTAGAATCATGAAATAGGCCACTTTTTATTACAGTTTGGCAGTTGAGAAAGTTCTCTCACGTGCCTTATCTCTTTTGGTCATCATACTAATCCTGTGAGGTAGCAAGACAGGGTTTTGTCCCATCTTAGGGACCAGGAGATCCTGGCCCAGAGACGTTAAGTTTCTCTGATGTCACACGGCTAGTGGTGACAGCACAGGGACTTGGAGCCAGGTTTCCTATCTCTAGGTGCAAGGCTCTCCCACAAAACAACATTGCCAGATCACAGTCCCTTCAGAGAGGGGAGCTGCTCCTGGCTCAGCTTAGCTTAAAAACATGCCATAAGGTGCGATTATGTGTCAGACCTTTGTGTTCGGTGCTGGGGATCCAGGAATGAAGCAGACAAGGGGAGGGCCACATACAAATCCATCCCTAAGTGAGGCAGGTAAGATCTGTATAACAGGACACGTGAGAACTGGGGGCCCGGGGGACACACCTTCCCCATGAGACATGCTTCTCGGATGAAATTAATAACTTCTGAGAAATGTTAGCTCTCTCTGCCATCTTAGAGAAGAGGTCGGTAAACTTTCTCTGTTAAGGGCCAGATAATAAACATTTTAGGCTCTACCGCCACATGTCTCTGCCCTAACCGCTCAGCTCTGGCATCATAGCAGGAAAGCAGCCACAGGCAATGCAGTATGTAAATCCAGGGGCATGGCTGTGTGCCAATAAAACTTTATTTATAAAACCAGGGGGTAATGGGTTTGGCCCCACTCTGTCTTGGGCCCATGATATCTTCTTCTTCTGCCCCTCCTTCACCTCAGCCCTCAGACAGACCATGAGTGCGCCCCCCAGGCTTGGGGGTGCTTCAGCTGCTATATGCTGAGCTCTTGGGCCCTCAATCTCAAGTCTTATCTTCTATCTGGGCATTTCTATTATTTAGTCAAGTTAGATTTCAACAGTGTATTTCACCCACAGTGTAGCTAATCCACATGGTAGTCCTTAACTTTGAGGTTCTGAGTTCTGGAAAACAAATTAGACTGTTTCTCTATGAATTCTTTGGGACTCAAATTCCATGTGAAATGTTCACCCGCTGCAGACAATGCTCACCCGCATGGATCTGCCTACGAGACATGTTTGTTTGTACTGAGGGCACTTAGAGAGCTACGGATCGTTATTTTTTTGTTTTTTTTAACCCAAGTAGCTAAGAAATACCTCAACGGCCTACATCTGTGAATATTCTGGAAAGAATTCACCACTTTCTGTAAAAGATTTCCAAACGGGGAACCGCACATCTAACACGTTCCCCATGTTGGATCTCACTCGGTCTGGGATTCATCAGGCCGCCTCTGCAGCGAGGATTGAGTAACTGTCTGGTGGAAGCAGGCCTGCACTCCCTCGAAATCCCTCGCTCTTACATGTTCTGTCTCTGCTCCCCACCTCAGAGGATGCCACATGCGTGCAATGTGGCTGTTTGCTGCAGAGCAAAAGACACTGGCCCCGGAAGGGCCTGCTGCTTTAGCTCCCACTGTCTTGCCCGCTAGCCTGAAACAGGATTTACAATTGAAACAGGAAATCTTGCAAGAAGGAGCAGTGGGGGTGAGATCAGCCAGAATTTGTGATTGAGGTCAGAGTCAAAAGCAGCAATGATTTCTTTCCATCCTGAGTTTCCATTTTGGGTCCCCAATGTTTTTGCAACAGGGAAGGTTTCATTCAGTTTCCCTCCTTCCTTCCTGTCTTCATTCCTTCTTTTCTTTTCTTTTCTATTCTATTCTATTCTTTTCTTTCCTTTTCTCTTCTTTCTTTCATATGCTGGGGATGCCAAAAAAATGTAGACACATGACTTGTATTCATCTTTTGTTATCGGTATATATTGAGTATTACCATTTTAATACAGCTTTTTCCTCTCTTAAAATGTGTGTACATTTTTGGGGCTCCCTCTGTATGTGTTGAGCCACTGCCATTTTCCAGGCACTGGACCTGGAACATTCCAACCATCATGTTATTTATCCCTAACAGCTCTGTATTGCAGGGACTAGTATTGTTCCTATTTTGCAGGTGGGAAAAATGAGGGTCCGGAACATTATGAAGTTTTCCCAAAGTAGCTGGTCCAGGACATACAACACAAGTCTGCCTCCCTAGATGAGTCATTGGTTCCTCCTCACCATGCTGACCCTCGGGGGCCCGGAGGTCATGAACACACATCACACCAGGGTTTCTCAACCCAGGAGCCACTGACATTTGGTTCCTGGATCATTCTTACGTGTGGGGGCTGATCTAAGCTATTGCAGGATGTTCTGCAGCATCTCTGGCTTCTACCCTACTAGATGCCAGGAGCTTCTCTCCCCGACCCTGTGACAACCCAAAATGTCTCCAGACCTTGTCAAATGTCCCCTGGGGGCAAAACCACCTCCAGTGGAACCACTGCATTATGCCAAGCTCTTGAGGAACGGATAGACATCTGTCTGTCTGCTCCTCTCCCATGCTCCCAGTTAGTCATCACATATGTATTTTAAATAGAAAGAGCTGCAGAGGAAACAGCAAAGCTTTCTGTCTCAATCAACCTATAGGGAAGCAGAGCAAACACACCTGCTGGAAATAATAAGAGACTTCACACACACACACACACACACACACACACACACACACACACACACACAGTTTCCTTTGTGCAAGGCTCTAAGCCCTGTGGGGAATCAAACACAGGCTTCTCTCAAGTTCCTGAAAGTGATATTTGAAACAGAGCCGGGCCCAACAAAAGTTTATTGAATCAATGAATGAACGAAAGACAATGTAGCAGGAGAGATGAGATAGGGCTGCAGAGAGGCTGCTAAGTGTCTGGTGATTAACCCTACAAGGAAGGGGTGGATGGCGCCTGGGAGCACAGAGCTGTGATGGCAGCAGCACCGGCCTGGACCTACTAGGCTGGGTGGGAGTCAGACATAAACAAAGGAAGGGATGCCTCGTACGCCTAGACAGAGGCCCAGGGAGGGGCCCTGATCTGGCCCTCGATCCTGTGAGAATGGGGTGTGATCAGCGTTGGGGTTCAGAAAGGTGGGCTTCGAATCCTACATTGCCTGGAAGTCCTGGCAGCTACCCTCCCTTGGTCCCTACACCTGTTTCCTCACGAGTTCCTTTGTTGCAATCCTGAAATCCGAAATTTCTACAAGTCATAAAAAAATTTTTTTTGTAAGTTTGTGGCAAACTCATTTGATGGCAAAAACTGACCTGGAATGAATGAAGAAATTATATTCTTTCTTCGTTCCTCTTAGGAGCCATTCATGCATTTTATCACAGAAATGCTGGATGTGTTTGGTGATGGAGCTGTGTTTCACATCTCCCAGGAAGATTGCACATTGCATGTCTGTGTCCTTCTGGTCTTAAAATCCAAATAATTCCGAATTGCGGCTCACATCTGGCCCAGTGTTCTGAGTACGGGGTTCTGTGCCTACGATAGTCTCTTGGGAAGAATCAATGAGATGACAGTCATGAGAGGAGGGATTAGAGCTGCACTCAGCATAGTCAGCACCCAGGAAAGATCGGCTGGCTTTGCTATTATTATTATTATTTTTATTATTATTGTTATTATTTTTCACATTAAAAATTAACTTGACTAGATGTAAGCTATTAGAGTCTGAATGAATTACCAGCGTTTTTAAAGTACAAAAAGCAGTGTTTTGTTTCTTAAAGCATATTCACAATGTTTCTGGTGACTAGAAACTCTCTTGTCTCCCTCCTCCCCCACGCTGCCCTCCCAACAGATAACCCTCTGCTTGGTTTTGGAACCTCTGCACCTTTTGTGACCATCGCCACCCACGGCCGCCTGCTGGGCAGGTCCCAGGCCATCCAGGTGGGCACTTCATGGAAGCAAGTGGACCAGTTCCTGGGAGTACCATATGCTGCCCCGCCCCTGGCAGAGAGCCGCTTCCGGGCACCAGAGCGCTTGAACTGGACAGGGTCCTGGGATGCCACCAAGCCACGGTAAGTCTCAAGTGCAACACCCTGTGGTGACTTCCTCTCCTGTTCTAATCCATCAAAGAGACTTGAGAGCAGAGCAGTGCGTTCTAGCTTGAGCAGTGGGCAGAGCAGTGCGTTCTAGCTTGAGGAGCTGGGGGGTGTACTCGTTAAGGTGCCATTTCCTGCTATAATATAATAGATGGACCCCAACCATCAGTGATTTAACATTATCTTGCTCCTGTAAAGTCCATTTAGTGATGGAGGAGCCTGTGTGCTCTGCTCCACGCAGTGATTCAGGGACTCAGGCTGTTGCATCCAGGAAAGAGAGGCCGTGGAAGAGGCCACAGGGGTGGTTTTTGTGGGCCACACTTTCAGGTGGGCTGCATTCGTCACCCTTCCTGGCCACGTCTGACTTCAACGGTGCTGAGAAATATAGCAGAGAAAAAAAATATATGAAAAAAATATGTGATGAAAAAAAATTAAGGTGAGGCTTTTCCCCCCCCTAATAGGAACAATATTAAAAGGAATTTTCAAAAAAAAACCCAGCATTCATACCTGATCTCCCTCCCTCATCAACTCTTCAATTTCACCCATTCCCTCCCATGCATATACCGCTTTAGTAGTTGACAAGTTAAGAGAAGATTTTGTGATTTTTCTAATTCAACCACAGTCAGAGTGCCCATGGCAACAGCACCCACCTGCCTTTGCCCTCCCGATGGGCAGTCAGAGCTCTTTCACGAGGCAGCTGCCTCCTCCCTGTCCCTTGCCACCCATGGCCGGCTGCTGGGCAGCCCACAGGCCCACGCCAGAAAGAGTGATGAACTAGAAGGTTCTAGAATACCCAGGCAAGGGCCAACCAAAACTTCGAGTTGGGCAGTGGCAGAAAAATGCAGAACACCATGGATGAGATTCCACCATTGGGAAACAAAAGGAACAGATGCACACGAATTAGAGCACTTGACCACGTTGGGACATACCCACCGGGCAGGCAGGGTGATTGAGTTACACAGGCTTTGGAGTGGACAGTAGCTGGAGAGCTTGGTTCACAAGAGCCCAGTGCTAATGAGGCTTGGGTGATGAGTAGAGTCAGTTTTTGGGTGGATTGCCATCATGCTGCCATTAGGTGTGTCCCAGACATGGTCCCAGCTCTTAGGCTAGGAGATGCTCAACATGACACACTAGGACTTGGTACTGATGTAGACAGCAGGCTGGACACCTCATCCAGTGACAGGTCTGCATGCTCGGAGCAGAGAAGGGTCAAGGTCCCAAGTGGCATCCATTGTCCCTTCTCTATCTTGAGCACCCTTCTCTCCAGGTTGGTGCCTTGTCCCTGGGGGACAGTGATGGGCACCCTTCACTTGCCCCTCCCAGCTCCTCTCTCCTGAAGCTGCCTAATTGCTCAGAGTGGATGGGCACCAGGCCCTTGGAATGGGGGCAGTGGGCTCTGGCCGCTGGTGGTGGGCAGGAAGGGGACATGGGACATGTCCCCTTGGTTGTGTCTCCTGGAAGTCAGACAGTCTGTATTTGCAGGGCCAGCTGCTGGCAGCCAGGCATTGGACCGTCCACCTCTCCAGGAGTCAGCGAGGACTGCTTGTATCTCAACGTGTTTGTCCCTCAAAGTGTGGTGAGTTCTAAAGCCTTTGCTGGGTCTGCTCCGTGAGCAGCCCCTGTCCCCACAGCTGCGGGCGTGTTCACTCACTGTTCACTCCCCCCCACTCAGGTTATGTGCCCCTAGCACCGCGCTAGCTCGGTCTTGTCTCTGGGAAGGCCTGAGTAGCTGAGAGTGAGCCGAGGGTCCTCCTGCTTCCTGCACGGCCTCATCTGTCCCTCCCACGCCCTTGCAGTTCCCACACGGAGGGCAGTGCACGGGGACTCCCATCCAGTCCTGTAAGAAATAGTCACCCGGGGCCTGTGATGGGTGTGGGCTCTTCCTGGTGGGACACAGCTGTGCACAAAGCAAGCCGCTCCCTGGGGGGGGGTTATATTTTAGTGGGAGAGGCAGAGATACACAGATAAGCAAATAAATATTAAACAGCTGAGCAACAAATAAATAAATTTTGAAGACAAATACAGCAATGGAGGAAAGAAAGTGACAGGAGGTGTTAGGTGGTAGTCAGGCGGTGCCTGTTGAGCAGGGGTGTGGTGGAAGGAGGGTGCCAGCCTTGTGGGTAGGGAAGGGCAACAACGCAAGGTGGGCGGAGGGGTTGGTCTCTAGAGGGCCACAGGCTGGGGAGGAGGAGCCTGGATTCAAATTAGTGTGCAAATGAGAAAATGCCCGCCCCTTGGGAAGACCCTGGGGAGTGACCCCTTGGGGCCATTTCCTTGGAGCCTCCCATGTGGACTTTTGTTTGAGGCAGCTCTGGAGGGTGGGGCTCGGGGCTTTGACCCTGGCTGGTTAGGCTCTGTTTTGAAGTCTGCATCTGCCTGAGTAGCAGCTTTGATCCTGATATTGAGTGTTGAGTTTCCTGTTTTGGGGGACGGGTCAGAGTACACAAGACAAAAAGGAGCTGATGAGCTTTAGGAAACATGAGTTTCTGGTGACGCCCACCCAGTGTTGACAGATCTCATGGTACATGTGACGATGTCACCGCTTCCTGGTGCCCTAGCTTACTAACAGTGAGAGTCAGCTGCGTTTTGGAGGTTTGATCTCAGGTAGCTGGTCCGGGAACTTTGTGATAAGGCCACCAAAAACATGAACGTTCTCATGGGCTGCATTAATCGAAGTCTGGAGCCTAGAAAGAGGGAGGTGATAGAGTTCCGTTCTGTCTAATGCTGGACATGCCATACTTGCCGATGCTCAATTAAGTTCTGGCTCCAAACCAGCCTACCGCTTACTACTACCTCACTGGCCTAGAAAAAGTAACTCAAGTTCAATGTCCCCCAGTTACCTCATCTGAAAATGGGGAGATTAAGTTTCTGCCTCATAAAGTTCTTGAGAGAATTAAATAGAACCATGGATATATGCTAATTAATCAGTGGAGCTCTGACACATACTAATTACTCAATGAACAGCAAACTTTTGATCTTCACAACACTGCTAAGGGGTCTTATTCCCATTTTTCAAATGAGAAGCCCATGGCTCAGAGAGGTGAGGTGATCTGCCTGAGGTCACTCAGCTAGGCTAGTGGGTGATTACTGTAGACTTGGCCAGTCGCGTCCCGGAGTTCACAGCTTGGTCCAGTAAGTGGTGACCAGTGCACATCTAGTTTTGCCACAGTGAGAGCAACAAGTGAGTGGTAGTGCTTTACTGTTTATAGAGCACTTTCATATCTGGTTTCACTGGTCTTCACATCAACTGTAGGAGGAAGGTAAATAAATATATGTGTATATTTATATATACACCGGGGGTGCCAAAAAAAAGTGTACAAGTAGACATGTTGGTCAACGTGGCTCAAGCAGTAGTTCGCCATCATCAGAAGTGTCTGGACGCTGATGGGAGCCACTTTGAGCACCTCTTGTAATTGCGGAAATCAAACGTGACTTGTATTCATCTTTTGTTATCGGTATATATTGAGTATTACAATTTTAACAGTTTTCCTTTCTTAAAATGTGTGTACATTTTTTTGGCACCCTCTGTGTGTGTGTGTGTGTGTGTGTGTGTGTATGTATTATATTTATAGGTCCAGGGGTTAGGGCTTCATCATGTGACTTTGGAGGGACATAGTTCAGCCCCTAACATGGGGCCAATGTGCCTGCAGAGCCGAGCTGATGGGAAGAGTCAAGTGCAGGCTCTGAGTCTGGCGCCTACATGGGAAAGGGGCCCTCACCAAGCTCTGGGGGGTGAGATGGGCCAACCTTTAGCACCCCCATTTCTCCAATACCCATAGGCCCCCAACGCGTTTGTGCTGGTGACCTTCCACAACACCATGACAGGCAGGGGGAGCGACGGGCGCCTGGCCTTGGACGGCTCCCTCCTGGCTGCTGTTGGCAACCTCATCGTGGTCACCGCAGGCTACCGAGTGGGCGTCTTCGGCTTCCTGAGTTCTGGTGAGTTGATGCTGTTAGTGGGGATGGCTGACCCCTGAGCTAAGGCCTGCTCTGCGCGTGTTCAGCCCCTTCTTCTGGAAATCCCATCCTTTCATGGCCCCTGGCCCCCTCCTCCCGCCCAGCTGAGCCCTCAGTGGACCGTCTCACATGCTCATGAGACCCTCCAATGATGCTGACGCCCATAGGCCAGGCAATATTTGCCATGCATTGAACTCAGTATGTGTCTGAACCTGTCCCAAGGACGTGACATGTCTTATCTTGTGATATATGTGCGTGTGTGCGTGTGTGTGTATTTTGAGGCCCCAGGAGGTTGGTACTTGCTCAAGGTCACAAGGTCAGGGAAGAGAAGAGTCAGGACTCACCATGAGGTTGCCTTGCCCTGGAGAACTCTAAGGAGTGGGTTATGGCTCTCGGGTCCACAGTGAAGCCATCAGCCTGGGAGTGAGGGCTGCATCACAATGTGCTTCCCCTTTAATTCTGGCCTGCCTTGTGAACACTGGCCTGGCCCCTCCATTCACAGGCCCGGTTAGCCCCCTGTTTATGCCCTCCACCATCCCCACATCCCCAGAGCAGAACTGAGGCTTGGGCCAATCCCACCATCTTCCTCTTCATCTGCAGCCCCCACCAGAGGTAGGGTTGTTGTTAGGCAGCCGTGGCAGAGGGCAGATACGCTGGTCTGGGAATCTGAAGGGCCATTCATTGTCTCTGTGACTTTGGACAAAACCCTGTCTTTCTCCGAGTCTCAGTTTTCTCCTCTGTAAACCGGGAATAATTCTACAACTTGCAAAGTTACCATGAGACGCAAGTGAGGTGTTGCATGGGAAAGGGCTTGAGAGCCAGTGATGGCTGTGTTGAGTCCTGAAGGACAGGCACAGAGTGTCTTCTATTTTCTAAGGGTCTCATTTAAGACCTAGAACGTCTTACCTGCTAAGTATGGTTGGGAGGTGGAAGGTAGCATGACCGGAACGACGAACTCGACTAGCATATGGGTGAGTGGGGCGGCCATCCAGCATGAAAGCCAGGCATCTTGGGGAATGACAGCTGATGGACCTCATGGCATGAGGCCTTGAGTACCATGGAGAAGTTTCTGGGCCTGCACAACAAATGTGAAACGGGCAACAAGTTAAGACAGAAGGAGACCAGATGCCCCTGTGGGAAATATGGCTGATAAACAGACTTCAGATTGCCTTTATGAGAGTAGGGTCAGCTGCTAGAGCACTGAGAATGCTTCACCTGGGTTTTCTTTCCTCTTCAAATGCCCGACTGATAATGTCTTTTTAAGTCAGTAGCTCCTTTCTCTGAAGAGGCGGTAAAATTCAGACATTATCCTGTTGAACCGCAGTCAGGGGGAGCTTTTCACAGACATGGCTGACTTCTCGGCTTCGAGCATTCCAGACAGAAGAGAGCGAGTTTCCATATGTCATCTGTCCCTGAGGGGGTGGAGGATTATGATTTCATGGGCTGTGATCTTATTGAGAATGCATATGACTCTGGGAAGGCAAACTCATTTCTGCTGCCGGCGGGGCACCGGCAGGGGAGGCAAAGGAAACTTCCAGAACACTCAACCTCTCTTATTCCTGCCTTGCAACGCTACCTGTTCATTGTGCTTAAAGCAAAAATATCAGTAAGAGAGAAGGGAGGTTACTCTTCCCGAGCAGCTCTCTGTGTCAGACATTTCACCTAGATGACCTCGTTTCATTATCATGGCTGTTCCGTGAGGCGGACATTGTGGGGCCATTTCACAGATGGACACATGACACCCAGGGAGGCTTAAGGAACTCCATGCCCCACTGTTTGGAGTGTCCTGCACGGCTCTTGGACTTTGCACCAGGCAGATCAGGCTCCAAGAGCAGCTCCGTTGCTCTGTGGGGCCGAGGGGCTCTGGGCAGTTCCTTCCCTCCACACCCATCACAGGCTGCCCATCTTTCAAAAGATGCTAAAATCTATGGGGCAGGGGACATGAGATAAAGTGAGAGAGACAAGCCCCCAGACCTGTGCCTGGCTCCTAGCAGGGTCTCGCAGGGTGAAGGTCCTTTCTGTCCCTGGACAGGACCTCTTTCACACGGTGTGGCGGTCTTGTCCCGGCCCTGCATCTGGCCGGTAGCTGGCACAGATTTGCCTCTGGACCACAGCAGCAGCAGCTGGCATTTACTGAGTCAGGCCCAGTAGCTGCCCATGCACATCATCTCATTGGGTAAATACGTGCAGCATCTGCTGGTGTAGCCCAGAGCAAAACTGGCCCCCTGAGAGCTCCAGGCTCTCATTTCAAAAGGGACGGGAGAAAGGTGAGAATGGAAGCCTGCGCCTTTCCCGAGGCCCGCTAGACACACTCGCATTCTCTGCCACACCAGGCAGGCCAAACCCAGCAGTACTTAAAGGGAGCCGTGGTTCCTGATGAACTGAGCAGTCGGAAAGGAAGTGAGGGGGCCGGTAGTGGGCCTGGGGAGGCCGTTTCCCCAGCCTGGATCCTGCAGGCAGGGCAGACCGGGGGTGGGGGGCACAGGGCACAGTAATTACCCTTCTCTCTCTGGCAAAGCAGTGCAGCGAGGAGAACCAGGAGCGGTGGTGTGCAGGGTCAGGAAGAGGGGGTGTCCCATGGCCCGCAGGCCTTCTGTGGGGCGCAGGGACAGAGGAAGGGTGCTTTGGCCAGGGAGCCAGACGGAAGACACAGTGCCATCACATGACCTCTTCATCTCTGGGGCACTTGGAGGGCTCCGGGGAGGGTCTGCCACCCTCTCTAACCAGAGGAACTGGACAGAGGCCCACCCAGTGGGGGAGCCATGACAGGTGCAGTTTCTGCCCCGAAGACAAGGCAGGCCCTGCACAGGGCTCTGTGAGATGACACTGGGACCTAAAGCCATGTGATTGGAGAAGAACCATCTAGAACTTTATGCCAGGCACTGTTCTATTTCGTTTACAAATATGAATTAATTTACCTATCGTAACAAACCGATGAGGTAGGTCCTGTTATTATCCGCATTTTACAGGAGGAAAAGCAAGTTCTGTGAAGCAACTCGTCCAGGGCCCCACTGGCTCCCAGGAGGTGGAGCTCTTATCTGTGCTGCCTTTTACTGATGCCCATCCGTGCGGCAGGGCTTTTCTGTTTGGGAATATGGGGTCTTGTTGATAGTTTCTCGTTCGATACTAAATCCTGTTCATCATAACTATGGTCCTTTATTCACCTAACATTTTCTGAGGGCCTATTCAGTGTCACTGGTTTTAATGGGGGGGGGCACAGCCTAACAAGGGAAGGCAATGGTGACAAATACCCAGAAAGGGGAACCTTCCTTGTCTGAGGGCTGCCTGGGAATTGATGGCGTAGCTAAGACTGGAAGGATGGCTGGGCAGGGGCGGGTGGGGAGGAGATGGAGAAGGTGGAGGGTGAGGGGAGAGAACTCTGGGTGGAGGGAGGCACCTGTGCTGAGCACAGGGGTGGGGTGCGCTGGGACAGGATGGTGCAGGGGCGTTTGAACAACTGATGGGAGGTTTGGGGGGCTGATGCACAGGCATAGGTTTGAGACAAAGGGTGATATGGCCAGAGAGACAGATTACCCAGTCCTAGGGGACCTTGAATACACTGGAAGAACCAAGATAATGCCCTCATGAAAACGGGATGAGCTGGGAGATTTTAGATAGGACGGGGCAGGGTGTGTGTGTGTATGTGTGTGTGTCAGAGAGATGATCACAATTTTAAGTTTGAAGACCACTCTGGATGTGGCACAGGGAATTCACTGGAGGGACAAATGTGAGGGTACAGGAGGCCAGTGGCAACAGAAAACACTGAGGAGAGATGGTGGCAGAGACCAGTGGGGAGAGAGAGCCTGGAGCACCTGGGGAAGGCGTGGGAATGCCGCAGACGGAGGTGTCAGGAAGACTTGGAAGGTTGTACAGGAGCCGAATGGGTGGGTGGCACTGCATTGGAAGGAGAAGACGGACACTTGGAAATGTGTTGTCTGGGGTGCTCAGGAAACTTAGAATCAGTCCCCTTTAGAACTGAATGCACTTGTGCCTCCTGGAGAAACGTGAGGCGTCTGGGGCCGGGGGTGGTCTGGGTGCTCACATGCTTTGGGGAGTCACCAACATGTAGGTAGCATTTGAAGGCATGGGATCTGCTAAGGTCTCTAGAGCAAAGCAGGTGTGAGCCTCAGCTCAAACTATTGTAGAACAGGGCTGGAGTTTCGGGGCAGTGCGAGGCATAGATTGACAAGGAGGGCACTGAATTCAGAAGACGACCAGAAGGCCATGGGCATGTAGTGTCCCAAACTCCAAGGACAAAAGCATGCTCTTGCTATTTATTTTGTGTGTGTGTGTGTGTTTGTCCAAATCATTCCATTAAATAATAGTGCTGAGCTTTCAATAAATATTTACTAAATTCTATGAAACAAGGAAAGAGATCAATGGAGCTGAATGCTACTTAGGGTCGCAGAAGAAAAGACAACGGGGAAGAAGGGGTTCTAATCCTCCCCAGGCCTGGCCGCTGTTGGGGACAAAGAGCACAGAGAGCCACCAGCAGCAGGTGAAGCTGTGGGGCAGGCAGTTCCTCTCCTGTCCGCTCATGTGCCAAGTCAGGGGGTGGCCTGGACATGCATTGCCTCTAATCCGGGCAGCTGCCCTAGCAATTGCCTCATCTAGGGTGAGATAGCTGTGGTCCAGGGAGGTGAAATGACATGTCCAAGGTCCCCTAGCTGGCAAAGGTGAAGGGGAGGACACACACCTGCCTGGCTCTGATTCCAGAGTCCATGGTCTTACCACTGGCCACACTGTATTTGGAACCACTGTCCTGACCTGTGCAGACAGGAGGCACCGCGGGCCTGGCCTCGATAGCACAAGGATGATTAAATTCCAGGGTGCAGAGTCACAAAAGGTAAAAGGCTTTCCTCTTTCTGAAGGGTCCCCCAAGGTGAGTGGCAACTGGGGGCTGCTGGACCAGGTGGCGGCACTGACCTGGGTGCAGGCCCACATCGGAGTGTTTGGCGGCGACCCTCGGCGAGTGGCCCTGGCAGCCGACCGCGGCGGGGCTGACGTGGCCAGCATCCACCTTCTGACCACCGGGGCTGCCGGCTCCAGGCTCTTCCGGAGAATTGTGCTGATGGTGAGTTACCCATCCTGCCTTCCGCCTCGCCGCAGGTGCTGGCCAGGCGAGGGGGTCCTTTCTGGCCTCTTGAGGCCAGCTGGTTTCTATTGCTTGGTTTCCCCTACCCTTTGTTCTGAGCATATGTCCTGCTCGTGGCCTTCTTGTGTGTGTCAGGGTGCTGGGGGCTCCCCTGATGGCTGTCCACTCTTATCTGAAGTGCCAATGATTCCAGACGGGGGAGTGTTCCGTTTCCTGGGGGCACCTTGCTAGGGCTTCATGGTTTGAACTTGCATTTACCTCCCTTGTCTGTAGGCAACCACAGGGATGGAGTGTAGGCTGAGAAGCTTCTGATGGAGGAAAAGTTAATGGTGAGGGTACAGTTTAGCCAATACAATGCTAACTATACCGCAGTGTCACCCAAAACAGGAGAGAAATAGAACTGAGAGAACTCTCATCTAATTCCCAGTGTTGCTTCTCTGATCATCTCTGGGTTTGAACTTTGACTCTTCCTTTAAGCTGTCTGGTATCTTCACCAGCCCACCTTCCATCCCCACCCTGAGATTCAGTTCTGGTGGCATTTCACTGTGGGACACCAGTGGGTGACTCATTACTCTCACTAAGCTCTTCCACCTCATTGGGATTCTCTTGCCTGAGGTGTGAGGAGAGGCAGGGGACCCCAGCGCCTGTCCGCATGGCCATTCAAGGAGTGGCAGGCAGCTGGGTCAGCAGCCACACGGTGAGTCACAGAGCTCCAAAGGTTTGGCCAACTGAGTTGTTGATTGTTGAATGAAGGCAAAGAATGGAACTCAACACTCGTGATTCTGCTGGATGGTCTGAAGCACCTGTTAGGTAGTGATGATGATGGCAGTGATGATGATGATGATGATGGTGATGGTGATGGTGATGATGGCTATGGTGGTGATGATGATGGTAATGATGGTGATGATGGTGATGATGATGATGGCTATGGTGGTGATGATGACGGTGATGATATAATGATATTGATGGTGATGATATAATGATGTTTATGACAATAATTATGATGGAGGAAATAATCTCACTGACCACAGCGTAAACCCTGAAAACTATTCTGTCATTGATTCGCTTCTAATTTTACTGGTGTCCAGTTTGTGCTAGGTCCTGGAAATGCCATGCTAAATAATTTATGTCCTAGTTCACAGGAAGCTTGTAGTTTACTGGGAGGTGGAAAACAAGCACTTCAAGCAGATATTTGAGAGGGGGGGTCCTTAGGGTGGCTCAGAGAGAAGCCCCCAACCAAACACAGAGGAAGGAGGGGGTGTCAGGAATGCTTCCCAGGAGAGGGAAAGTCTGAGCAAAATACTGAGGACCATGCAGGCACGTGACTGCAGGTGGAGTCCAGGCACACAGGAGAGGCTTGGCTCTTTACTGAAATCACCAACCCTGTGGTGCCAGGGGGCACAGGGTTTCTGTGGGCAGTGGGGTGAGGGCGGGGCAGCAGAGAGCTGCCAGATTGCGCCGATCACCTTGGGGTTCGTCCTGAGCACGTGGGAGCCCTTGCCATGGAGGGTTTTGTTTGATTTGAGTTGGTTTGGTCTGCTGTACCATTTTAACTACTTTTAAGAGTACAATTCAGTGGCATTAGCACATTCACAGTGTTGTGCGACCATCACCACTAATCATTTCCAGAGCTTTGTTATCGTCCCACACAGAAACTCTGTACCTATTAAACAGTGACTCCCCATTCCACCCCATTCCAGCCCCCTGGTAACCTCTAGCCTACATTCTGTCTCTATGAATTTGCCCAGTCTAGGGACCTCACATAAGTGGAATCGTACAAGATTTGTCCTTCGGCGGCTGGTTTATTTCACTTCGCATAATGTCTTCAGGGTCCATCCATGACCCATGCTGTAGCTTCTATCAGAACTTCATTCCCTTCTTAGGCTGAATAGTATTCCGTTGTATGTATAGACCACATTTGTTTATTTCATCTGTTGATGGGCATTGGAGTTGACGCCAGCTTTGGCTGCCGGGAATAGTGCTGCTATGAACATGGCTGTGGCATCGAAGTATTTTTAAGCACATGGGAAACTTGCTCCCCTTTAGGAAAACTTCCCTTAGAGCTGGATGGAGGATGGAGTTAGAGGGACAACTCTGGAGGCAGAGAGAGCCATGGGGAGATTTTTAAGGATCACAAATTAAGGAAAGAGGGAGAGCCGTTGAGACCAGCACCGTGGACCAGCTAGCAGCTCTGAGGCCATGTTACCACCTGGCTTTGTCCAGCCTTCCTGGGGTCCAAACCCTTGACCAAAAGGAGGGTAGGAGTGGCGTTGTCTGGGCCTCACTGATCCACATTGTCAGCATCCCTGACCGGAAGCAGGACCACCTGCCACTCCGTCTCTTTCCTTCAGCACAGGAGCCTTCTAATGTTCCTAGAAGCGCCCATTCTCTGTTCTGCCCCATATAGGCAGTTTCCTCTGCATAACACATTTTTCTGCCATCTTCCTCTTTGTCTGCCCTATTCACCCTTCCAGGGAATCCTCCTAGCTTCTCAGCGTTAAATCAGACCCCTCTTTATGGCTTGTGCTGCCTGCACTTCTCTATCCAGCATTTATCATGATTTCCCACCAGTGAATAGTCATTCCTTCTGCCAAGTCTGTCTCCCTCCCATGACTGTAAGCTCCAGGGGAGCAGGTGTGTCCTGCTCTCCATGGGGCCCTGAGCACCCAACACAACTGTCTTATAATAAATGCTCCATAATTAACATCCGGACGTGGGATGAGCAGATGAACTGGGGAACCCACAGGCTAGTCCACTTCTCTCCTTCCCTCCCACCCCTTCCTTGTGTTTCTTGTCCTTTGATTCGGGTTTTCTTCCATCTGTCCCTCTATAGGGGTCCATCTTAGTGGCAGGAGACCTGAGCCCAAGCATCCTTCAATCCCTGGTATTGAAAACAGACCTTCCTGACTTTCAGTTGATCCTGGATTGATTTCCTGAGGGCTCCCTCAGAAACCAGACCCTTGGTGGGACCCAGAAGCCACCCAGAATACCTTCTAGTAGGCCCAGAAGGCAGAATTCGCTTTTAAAAATTCTGGAGGGTTTAGGTGTTTGGGGAATTTCAAAAGCGAATCTGTTTGAACAAATGGTAGTGTATTTAAAAATAAACTCGCCATCTGTTTTAGTCACTTAGGAGTGGCTTTTACAACTGCTCCCAGCAGTCTTTGAGATGCATGTGAAATTATTTGGCATCAAGAGAGCTAAGATACTTCAGCATATTTGCAGCTCTTAGATGTGTATTTACCAGGCGATACTTGGGGAATGAACGTGAGTTGGTAATACATTCTTGGATAAAATCTTAAGTCTTTCTGCATATCTGAGGTCCAAAACTGTTGGGATGGCAGCTGAGACAGACTCCTGTGATAATTAATAAGTTATATTCAGTTGCTTAGCATGTTTGGGGCCACAAAGCACATACAATGTATTATCTCAGAGATTCCTCACATTGATTCACAAGAAGCATTTAAAAAAAATATATATATATATATATATATATATATATCTAATCTAGAGATCAGAAGTCCAAGGCTCAGAGATGTTTAGTGACCTACTAAAAAACACACAGCAAAGAAGGAACCGCATTAGGGATTAGAACCTAAAGCCGAATCTATTTTCCCATTCCATGAGGCTGCTTCTCCAGGAACTTGGGACTTTTTCGGTGTCTCAATGTGTTAGGGAAAGAGCCCAGGCCTAGGATCAGACAAGCCTGCATTACGATCCTGGCCTTGGGCAAACCACTCACCCTTGCATTCTTCATGGATAAAATAGGTATGATTCATTCGGTCTCCCAAGGGCTCAAGGAGCTGTCATCATATAAGGTTTGTCAAGTGTCCTGCATACCATAGAATCAAGAAAGCCAAGTTTCACCCATTCCATGCCAAGCGAAGGCAGCTGTGAACTAAAGCAGGCCTGGGGCCCAGGGTGAAGGACGAAGAGGGTGACATGTTGCAAACATGCGCTCTGTGGCCCCGACGCCCTGGCCAGCTCTACGAGAAGGCAGAGTAGGTCATGTCCTCTGTGGCGTGATGCCCAGGGCCCAGAAGGGATTTTCATTGCCCCATTTCTGCAATCCTCGGCGCGAACGCCAGGCCTCAGGAATTGGCCTCAAACTGAATTTTCCTGTCTCCTTTCCTACAAAAACCCTACCCCCCTGGCTCCCTGACTATCACCGTTCCTAGAAAATGCCATGCCTTCCTCTAAATCTTTCCATCGCTCTCCTGTGGCCAGCATGGCCATTTCTCCACCTGGAAAGTCACTTTCTTCTTCAAGGCTCAGTGGAAATGGGACCTCTGAGCCTTTCTCTCCCTCTTCAAACAGAAGGAGGAGCCTCGCCTTCATGAAAATGTTTCTATTTAGCGATTTTCAGGAATTCTGCCTTGTTGTACATACTTGTTATTTTTCTGACATATCTCGTTCCGATTGTACCCTGCCTGGGTACGTGAGTGAATCCCTCCTAGTACTTCCTGAACACACTGTGCAGTACCCGGTCCAAAGAGGGCACGGAGACCACGCTGAGCTCCATTACCTGATGGCAGGGAGGTGGCGGTCTGAACCCAGAGTGCTGTTTTCTCCTGCTTTTGCACGTGTCTCATAGTGGGAGCATGCTACCTGCGTTTCTCCGTCAAAACTGACCTAGCAATTCCTGGGCTTTGGTGCTTCCATATATACATTTAGAATAAGTTTGTTCATATGTTTAATATTCCTGATGGGAATTTGATTGTAGGTCCGTGAAATTTTTTTTGCAATTTCAGAAAAAAATCTCTATGGTTTATGATGTTAAATCTGGCATCCGTGAAGCAACTGAATGCCATAGCCACGAAATTAGTATTTTTGTCTCCTGAGGTCTTTCCATGGAGTTTGAACGTTTCTCCATCCAAGTTGTGTGAACTCGTTGGAGGCAAGTCCCTACCTATGCCAGGGTATGACTGGCATTTGTGAATGGTGTGTTACTGTCTATCGCACTTCCTGGTTGGTAAATGCCAGCATAGAGGGGATAGGTTGGTTTAGCAATTTCCTGAGCTTTCTTACCACTTGGAATACTTTGTTGGTCTCATTGAATTTTCTGTGAAATTGCCTCATTATCTGCAAATAATGGCAGGTTTATTTCTATAAGTACTGGAACAAAATGCTCGACTATTCCAACAAAGAGACCCAGCACTAAAGCAGCTTCAGTAATAAATGTCCCTTCCCCCACCCCAGCCCTTTCTCAACACATTTTCCAAGGTGAGGAGTATAGGGCTCTCGTAATTTCTCAAGGCCCGTGTTCCTTCTAGGTGATTCTCTGCCATCCTAGGGCGTTGTCCTCACCTGCAGGGCTGAGTCTGGGTTGCCAGGGGCTCCAGGTAGCAGGGAGGGGGACTGAAAGAAAGGAGGGCCGGCTTGCTGACTTAGGGAGGAAGGTGCTCCCTCCTGGGGAGTTCCTGGTGACCTGTAGACCTGCACTAGATTTGCTTTCTTCTTTCTCCTTCGTCATGATCATTCTTGTTTGTGTTTTTATCCATCACAGTAAGATTAATGTGTTTTCTTTTGAAAACTGTGTTTTCTTTTGAAATCTCTATGCCTATATTTTTTTTAAAAACACTATTTCATTCATGTCTGCCCTTAATCATTATCTTTTCCTTTCTCCTTGAAAATGACAATCTGTTGTTCTTTTAGCTTCTTGAGTTGAAAGATAAACTCGTTACTTTTCATCCTTCGTCTTCTGGTCAATGGATTTCAAGCAATACATTTTCCCCTCACTGTTGTTATCATCTGTGCCCTGGGAGTTTTGAGAAGTAGCAATATGTCATGTGTTTTTAAGTGTTGTATTATTTCTGGCATTATTTTCTCCTTCCTCCTCTTCTTCTTCTAGTTCTTCTTCTTTTTCTTCTTCTTCCCCTTCTTTTGTACAGTGAAAAAAATTTATATTTAGAATTAGCCAGCTGGACTCAGTTTAGATGAACCCAATTTTGTTGGCAACGTCCAAAGCATCATAGTCAGGAGCCACTTGAACATAAGCCTTCTTGTCTCCATCTGGCCTGATCAGGATATTGATCTTGGCCACGTCGATGTCATAGGGCGATGTCACAGTGTGTTTGATCCAGTGCTTGCTGGCCTTCACATCCACAGTGAACACAAGTGTAGTGTTGTCTTCTGTCTTTATGGCTGACTCGTCGTTAGGGGGAACTGGATGATGGCACCATGGTCAAGCTTGTTTCTCCTGGGGGTGCTCTTCTGAGGGTATTTGGGCTGTGTTCAGAGCTACGGGGTCTTAGGCCTTCGGAAGGTGGGTGACGTGCAGATCTTCTCTTTATTTTGTGGCTGTGGATGCCTTTCAGCTCTGCTTTCTTTGCCTTTAAATCTTTTTCTTTGGCTTTGAGAGGGGCAGGGACTTCCTTTTTTGTGTTTGGTGCCATCTTCCTATTTTCCTCTTAACTCAAGGACATTTTCACTTTTTTTTTTGTTTTTTTAGCTGTTTGATGATAGAATTTTTACCCATCTGTTTGCAAATTGATTTCCAATTGTATTTCATTATTATCATAGAGCATGAATTGCAGGATACCAACTCTTGAAATGTATTAGAGCTTCCTCTGGGACCTAATGTAGTCTTAATTTGTTGGCAGGAAGGTTATCTAATGTTATTAAACTCTAACTACCTATCTGTTTAACTTTGCTTAATCTATCTGTTTCTGAGAGGTGTGTGAAAATCTCCAAATAAAATTATTGGTTTACCTATTTGTCCCTGTGCTATGTCCTTAATATATTTTGAAACTTCTGTTAGATTAATTTAGGTTTGATCACATCTTCTTAATGTATTGTTCCTTTTGTAACACCTCTCTTTGCCCTTAGGTGAATTTATTTTCACCAAAATTCCATTTTGCCTCAAAACTCAGCCGGTTTTTCTTGTGTTCATTTTTGCACAAAAACATTTCCATCCTTCTATTTTCAAACTCTACAACCTTTTCTTTTAACTATGTGTCAAGTAGGCAATATAATGTGGGAATTTTGAAAATGCATTCTCTACACAGCCCTTTTAACATATAAATGAGATGATATCACTCCCCTACTTAAATCCTGCCAGTGGTTTCCCGTTTCTCCTAGAAGAGGCCCTCCAGTCCTTCCCTTCCCAAGCAGGGCCTTGCAGGATCTGCCCTGCCACCCTCGAAACAGCCCTGTCCTCCCCCTTCTCTCAGCCCCAGCAGCCTGGCCTCCAGACGCTCTCACATGCAGCCTTGCTTCTGCCTGCAGAAGTCACCTCGCTGCTCCTACACCTCCAGTATTCTTCCTAAATCTTTGCATGGCTGTTTCCTTCTCATCTTTTGGGTCTCAGCTCAACTGCCTCCCCTGGGAGGCCTTTCGTAAGCATCCGATTAAAGGGCCCCTCTACCGGTCACTCTTCAATCCAGCAGTCCGTGCCATTTTCTGCACTGCATTGACCATCGCTGGAAATGTATTTATTTATGATATCAAGATTCATGACAGCAGAAGTCCCATGTGGTTCTCACTGCTACAGCCCCAGCACCTAGAGCAGTGCCTGCTATTTAATGGGTGTCCAAAAGAATATCTGTAGAAAGAAATTCTCCAAAGAACAAACTGCAGGGACACCACAGGTACTATGGGGAAGTATCTAGAGGAGACAAAATTTGCATCACAATCGCTATGAAGTTGTTCTGTTTCCATCCCCTATGTCCACCTTCAAGCGGGATAAGACACACACACACACACACACACACACACACACACACACGTCATCGAATCTCGTTTTCTTCTTGCATTGCAAGAAGCTGAGCTGCTAAGCAGTGAGGTCCCTCTTGGTGTTCTGTGCTTCCATCTCTTTCCAGTTACACATTTATTTGAAAATTCGAAACCCACAGAAGCTTCTGAATAAACACCCACCCCACCCTGCCCCCAGCTCACTCAGGATGCTCTCCCTATATTCCAGGGGTTAAATATTTATTAAGTTTATTTTAATCAGGAATAAATACATGATTTAGCAAAATGTAATGCTTCCCACTTAGAAATCCCTCCAAGTCCTCCCCGCACATTCCAACCACGTTAGTCACAACGGAAAACAGCACAGAAGACCCTGTACAAACATCTGGAGTGTGCGAGGTCATCCTGCCTTATGGCAGAAGTCAGTGCCCACAGTGTTACAATCATGCCCCATACACGGGCTGGTCCCTTCGAAACAGCCTTTGGGGATTGCTGGGGAAACCACAGATGTCTGCTTGCATAAACACCGTGGAATCTGGTGATAAGAAAGTCCTGTAAATGCATAGACACGTCCCGCCAGCACAGTGATCTCAGCTCTGCAGAATGCGTATGGTGAACAGACAGACTACTCTGTCGGGCAGCGAGATGTGTGTACCACACACAGCGTCATCCCCCGAGTCCCTTTGCAACACGGAAGAAGGAGTCACGGCTTCAGTGCCGCCCCTTCCCAACAGGACCCGGGTGGGATGGGTGGCCTGGCGATAACGGTCCTCCTTCTCTAGGTCTTCACCTTGCTTCTCTCTCATCTCTTAAAATTACAGTAAGACACAATTACACCACTCTGCGTCTCCCATCTTCCCTGGAGCTCAGTGCTTTTATTTACATGGATGCCAGACCCTTGTTAGAATAGAGCACTGGATGAACTCCTTCTTTAGAACTGTTTTTTTTTTTTGAAAAAACAACTTCCTGTTTTCAAAAAACATCCAACCATTCTGACCGTCTCTGTCCAGGCACGACTCGGAAGGTCCAGCGGAAACACGAGTCCCACCCAAAGCCGCGAGCCGATTTCTGCTTTTACACCCACTTTCACAATATTTGTTGACATATTTTTCTTCCTGTCTGTATTGTGAGGACCTCTGCTGGGGTCTGGGGCTTGTTCATCGTTTTTCTTTTTTTTTTTCTCTTTTCTTTTTTTTTACTGGACACCTTATACAGGCTTTAACACAGTTCCCCTTTGGGCAATCAGGAATGAATCGTTGATGCATTCGTACAGGTGAGAACCTCAGCATGCCGCAGAAGCTCTTTCTGTGCTGCAAAGCTGTGGCTGGGGACCCCGTGAAAGCTTGCCCAGCTCCAGGCCCACCCCAGTGCTTCCCTGCGAGCAGCCTGCCCTGGCACGTTTGCCCTGCCCCCTGCAGGAGTAGGGAGGCCTCCTGACTTCTGCACATGTGGCTTTGGGACCAGCAGGGCAAAGCGGATCTCCTGATTCAGGGCTAGTTAGGGAGGTTAATGTTTAGTGTCACTGAGGTCCCTGAAAGAGAGGTGATGCATACCAAGGGTCTCTTTGTGGATTGACTTAAAAAGTTCCGTGCAGGGGGCCGATGTGCAAACCCAGACCTTCTGCCAGGACGCACCTTTGGCTCATCTTCTTCTTGGGTTCTTCTCATTCGCAAGTTTTCTCCAGTGAGCGCAGGGTGAGGCCATCTGGACGGTTTGGAGGATGGTCCTGGTGCACTTTTTAGTGAGAGAGGGTCCCTCTTGCCCACAAACCCGACGAGCTCGCACAGAACGTACAAGCAGGGCTCTTCGGAAGCGTTGCCTGATCACATGACCAGCCAACACTTTGTGATGTCCCAGAACTGATCAGACACCAGGGACCCTTTGTCATCACGCGATAGAGAAGATGCAAGTTCGAGCCTCCTGTGAGCTTCTCTTGGCTTCTGGAAGATGTGAGGCTCCCCAGGGACCAGGGAACCATGCCCCTGCAAGATCCCAGGTCACAGTTCCAACCTCTGCTCCTTTGGGACGCGCGCCATGGCGTCTGCTCTCGGGCTAGTCCTCATAGTACGGCGGCGACGAGAAGAGGGCACTCTTTCTCTTGCTCCCGCTGTACATGAAGGACACGCTTTTCTTCTTTCGGTCCAAGGGGGTGCTGTCATCACCGGTCAGGGACAAGTAGGAGGCGATGCTTTCCCGGAGGCCATAGCTGAAAAGGGACTCGTCCACGCCAAGTGGGTTCTCTGCTCCCTCGGGGTCTTCCTCCAGCCTGCGAGTGGGAAGAAAGGTGGCAGAGGAAGGAGAGAAAGAGAGGGACATAGAGGAATGGACGACAAGCGAATGAGAAAAGGGAGAGAAAAAAAGAGCCCGGTTAGTATTTCTCTAACTTATTGTTCTAATTCTGCTTCTTATATGTGTGGCTGTGTGATCTTGGATAAATCGCTTAACCTTTCTGAACCACCACTTCCTTGGATGGCTAAAGCATCCAGCTGCCAATTTTAATGAATACTTCTTTATGATATTTACAAGAAAGAGCAGTTTTATTCATCTCCCAGGTAATTCTGATCTCTGATTTTCTTTGAATTTGCCAATGGGATGTCTGGATCAGTATTTAATGAATAAGACAACCTGTCAATCCCCAACTACAGATACCCCTGAAATGCAATAGCTGACACTCAAATAAAACAAATCAGAGGAAGATGTTTTCCCTTACAAAACCTGAAGTCACCCTGTGATTTTGCTGACATGTTTAAGCTTTCTGAGTTTAAAACACCATTAAATTTATGCAAGATTTATTTGTGTGTTACTCTCTATGATCCGAAATTAGAAAAAGCAAAGTGGTATCTTTCAGCTAAAAAATATTCTGCTAACACTGAATGGGGACTCAGTAAATGTTTGTAGGATGGGGTACTGGGGGTCTTGTCAGGGAGTTGCTAGGGCCATGCCACCCACCACGTGAGGCCTGAGGCTGGGTCTGGCTCTCAGGGGACAGCAGTATTCTGTGGGTTAGTGTCTGCTCAGAGTGCCCACCATCAGGTTTCAGCAGGGCTGGCTGTAACTGGCCAAGGTTTTCATGTGCCAGGCTCACAGACAGGTTTGGGGCTCACGTTTATGGAGGACACACACACACACACACACACACACACACACACACACACACACAGACACCCCACCTGGACATCCTC